ACAGCTCCTCCCCCTTCAAGGTCAGCTGACCTGTAGTTATCACTCCCTGTTGGCTAAATTGAATGGGTTGGTCGGCCACGGAGAGGCAAAGTGGGTGGTACAGGCATGAGTAGCAAGCCCAACTGCTGCAGCTACTTTGAGCCTTGAGGGCATGTGGTCCGGTGACCCTGATGGCTAAACTAAATGGACTGTCTGGCAGCTGCTATGAGCCCCAAAAACATGCAGGCTGGCATCTCGGTCCAATGGGAAAATGTCCGGTGTATCCTATGGCCAGTCTGGGCCTGCCTGGAGCTTTATTCCTCTTTATTATTACATCTTTTTAATGTACACTGCTGTCAAAATTAAAAAGTGAGCCTTGAGTTGAATACTTTATTACCTCTTTAACCTCCCTGGCGGTATTCCCGAGTGTAGCTCGGTGTAAAGTTTCAGTACCACAAGCGGTAACCCCAAGCTACACTCGGGAATACCATGCGGCGCTGCTCCGCGATCCCTCGATCACTTACCTTGTCCTGCGCTCCCGCGATGTCCCTCCTGCAGTGTCCCAGGCAGTGTAATCTGGCGGATGCCGGCATCTGTCATCTGGGTTCAGTCCCCTGCGTGCGTCGGGACGTACGGGGGACGGAACGGCGGGAAATTTGACAAAAAGTGACATTCACTAAAATCACTAAAATCACATAATAAAACATTACTGTATCAAACCATTTCACATACATTTTGTCCCTAGTGCTTTGTCCTGTGCCCTGCCTGCATTTTTACTGTTCTTTCTGCCTGGAAAATGGGAAACATCCATGGCGTCCAAAAAGCGTCCCTTTAGGTCAAAAGCGGTTTTAGACCAGCTAGAGAACAGCGATAGTAAATTAGAATCACTTGCAGAATTGAGTGATAATGATTTGCGGGGAAAATTTGTCATCAGACACTGAAAACGATTTTGCGACTTTGCTTAGTGATATGCAAACTTGGCGCTCTATTTCAAATTTCAGAGTTTTTGGTTTGATTATATTATTGAATTAAATTTATTATTATTATATTATTATTTTTATGATTATTTATTAAATTATAATTTATGATTTTGTGTTTCAAGTTTTATCCTACCCGGGATGTTTACTAGACTCTTGTTCGGACAGATTTCATTGAGTTATTCCTAAAAATTACAGGCCTACAATAAAAAAAAAACCATATTTCCATGCAAAGAAATGTAATGCTTTGAGCACAGAAATATGGACATAATCAGACCGCTAGGGAGGTTATTACTTTTCATCTAAACACTGCTGTACTGCACCAGTTTACCCTTCTCCCTATTGCCTTTAATTTGATAGCTCTGGAAAAAAAACCTTTTGTTGTTGCTGGAACATCCTCCTGGCTATGTCTTTACATACACTTTAAGGTAAATTGAGTGCCCTTAAAAGAGTAGCTGTATTGCTTGGATACCATTAGCAGCTCATTCAGTGCCTGTCAATACTTTTTGAAAGAGTACTCCAGATATTAGTGTTATTTTGCCAAAGCCAAAGCTTACCTCTTTTAATTTTATACAGTTTTCTGTTTTACACATGTTAATGCTACTATCTCCAGAGTCACTTGAGATGAGCCCCAAGTAGCCTAGTAGGTATACACAATGAATGTCCCAGTCCACTTACTTGACCAAAAGTTTCTGGAAGATTCCACTCTCTTTGAGGTAGGTCCATAGTGTGTGGTTGGCAGAATATTTATTTATTTCAGGTACTTATATAGCACCATCAATTTACACAGCGCTTTACATATATATCATACATTCACATCAGTCCCTAACCCGCAGGGGGTGTACAGTATAAGGGCCCTAACTCACATTCATACATACACATTCTAGGGCCAATTTAGACAGGATCCAATTAACCTACCAGCATGTCTTTGGAGTGTAGGAGGAAACTGGAGTACCCAGAGGAAACCCACACAGGCACAGGGAGGACATGCAAACTCCAGGTAGGTGGTGCTGTGGTTGGGATTTGAACCAACGACGCTAGTACTGCGAGGTGGAAGGGCTAACCATTTAGCCACTGTATAGAATACAAAATGGGTACCAATCACTTTTGTTTTGTAGATTTATTTCTAACCTCTTATTAGAGAACATCAGTCCTTCTTAACAACATTGTATGTGTCCTAAGCATTTTGTTACTTGTAGGCTTCAGACACACACACAGTATATCTAGGTATATCAGAATGCTCCTGTGGCCAGTTCGGCTACAGTCACTTATATAGGGAGACAGACGTGCTTTCACCTTGTTGCAGTGGATCTCTTTCAATATTCCAGTTACAGCACCAGCACAGATCCCTCTTGTCAAGATTCCAACAAAGATCTTCTAGCACAAGCCATAAAACAAAATAACACTTTCAAACCCATCTCAATCTAGAAGAGATTCCAAAGCAAATCCCTGTTTGTTTATTTATTTAATGTGCACATGACAGAAAAATTGAAGTGAATATTTGCTTAGTTTTGCTAAAAAGAGATTCTCAACTCCTTTAGCTAAATTTTAGGCTCATTAAATATTCTTGCTGACTCAACAATTGCTAACAGTTTGAGCTTAGAAACTGCTGCAAATTTCATAAAATAAACTAAGCTTAGGCTGGCCATAGCCTAGCATTGAAAAATATACAGACACACATTTGGTTGGCCAAATTTGCACTCTTCATGTTTACAGTTCTGTAAAACAAAACGACAATTTCCAAGTAAAGGATCAGAGCATTTCACACTGACTACCAGCTAGGATAATCGTGAATGATGTGGATCTACATCACTGGACCCTGGTGCCGCAAGACAGATATGCTAACCACTAAGATGCTGAGCTGCCCACTCTCTTGACCAATATAAACCTAATGTGCAAAAGTTTGAGGCAGGTGTGAAAAAATGCTGTGAGTTAAGAATGCTTTCAGAAATAGAAAAGTTAATAGTTTATATTTTAAAAATTAACAAAATGGAAAATAAATGAACAGAAATCCAAATTAAATCAGTATTTGGTGTGATAACCCTTTGCCTTCAAAACAGCATCAATTCTTCTAGATACACTTGCACACAGATTTTGAAAGAACTCGTCAGGTAGGGTGATCCAAACATCATGGAGAACTAACCACATATCTTTTGTGGATGTATGCTACCTGATATCCTATCTCTTCATGTAATCCCAGACAGACTTGAGATCAGGGCTCTGTAGGAGCCGAACCATCACTTCCAGGACTCCTTATTCTTTTTTATACTGTAGATAGTTGTTAATGGCATTGGCTACATGTCTGGGGTTGTTGTCGTGCTTTAAAATACATTTGGAGCCTATCACACTCCTCCCTGATAGCATGGCATGATGAATAAGTATCTGCCTGTATTTTTCAGCATTGAGGACACCATTAGTCTTGACCCAATCTCAAACGCAATTTGCAGAAATGCAGCCCCAAACTTGCAAGAAACCTCCACCATGCTTCACTGTAGCCTGCAGACACTCATTATTGCCTCCTGCTACAGCAAAATATTTCAGATTTTTACTCATAAGTCCAGAGCACCTGGTGCCGTTTTTCTGAACCCTAGTTCCTAATTTTTCATGCATAGTTTAGTCACTTAGCCTTGTTTCTATGTTGGAGGTATGGCTTTTTGGCTGCAATTCTTCCATGAAGACCACTTCTGGCCAAACATCTCCAGACCATAGATGGATGTACCTGAGTCTGACTGATTTCCATGAGTTCTGTGCCAATGGCACTGCTGAACATCTTCCAGTGTTGACGGGAAGTAAGCATGCTGCATTAATTTTCCTTGACAGACCATTGTGTCTATAGTCCTCAACATTGCCCATTTCTTTGTACTTATTCAAAAGAGTTTGAACAGCACATCTTGAATCCTCAGTCTGCGTTGAAATCTTTCTCTGGGAGAGACCTTGCTGATGCAGTATAATTATCTTGTGTCTTGTTGCTGTGCTAGGTCTCGTCATGGTGTATGACCTGTGACATAAAACTGTCTTACACAACCTCACCTCAGTAGCAGAGTTTGGCTGTTCCTCACCCAGCTTAAGCTTCCATCATAGCTGTTTCTTTTTTGGTTAATGTGTTTCAACCTACATATGAAATTGATGATCATTAACACCTGCTTGGTATAATTAGTTATTCTAGTTATTCATGCACTTGACTCTCTACAACTACAAAATCCCTGACGTACGAGTGTACAAAATGTGGAAGTGTAAGAACTAAAGTTGGTGTGAGCCAAAGGGTAGTCACACCAAATATTGATTGATTTTGATTTGATTTAGTTTTGATTTACATGGCAAGAGAGAGAGAGAGAGAGAGAGAGAGAGAGAGAGAGAGAGAGAGAGAAATTAGCGAAACGTGAAATGATAAGCTCAAGAGTATCACATCTTTCATAAAATATAGGAGCAGAGGAAACACTTTCTAACAAACATCCATAGCAAAGCACTGTAAATAATATAAATATTTATTACATGTGTTATATAGTTGCTCTATAATTGTTTTACAGATCTGAGCAGTGAAAAGCTTTGTAAACTTGCATGGGAACCCATAAAAGGCTGAAAATAGACATCTGGAGACCTATGAGAAACAAGCTCGCGAGTAAAATAGTAATTTTCCAGTTTGCCAAGTACTTTAAGGTTCATTCTGATAAATAAAAAGAGATTATATCATATAATAAATCCTCTGGGTGATTGTTATGTTTACAAATCTGGTGCCTCTTTTAAAGATAAATGCATCTGTTTTTTAGCTGTTTTTTTATACCAGTTTTTTTTGTTTTAATCCAAACAACTGGTACCCTGTTTACCTAGTTGCCGACTGCAGATAGCCAAATGATGGCTGCACTGCGGCCGGCCAGTTCTGGGAGGCAGTCATATGAAGTTCTCCCAGAACGTGCTCTCCTGCACAACCCCACACACACACACCCTGCGTGCACCCGGCTATATCCGTGATTGCTGTGTCCTTTTCACAGCGGCCTTTTTTACCACATGATCAGCCATGTGCAATGACACGCTGATCACTGGGAAATGCAATTGCTGGTTCTTGGCTGCACTTTCCTCACGCTGTTAGAACGTGAGGAAAGTACTGCCGAGAACTGGCCGTTGTCAGAGCAGGGATCGGTACTGATCATCAGGGCACTGATGATCAGTGCCCTGATGATCGGTGCCCAGCAGTGCCACCCACCAGTTCCACCCACAAGTGCCGCCCACAAGTGTCCAGCAGTGCTGCCCACAAGTGCCCAGCAGTGCCACCCACCTGTGCCCAGCAGTGCCACCCACCTGTGCCACCCACCAGTGCCCATCAATGCAGCCCAGCAGTGCCTCCCAGCAGTGCCTCCAGTTAGTGCCCAGCAGTGCCGCTAGTCAGTGCCCAGCAGTGCCGCCACTCAGTGCCACCTATAGGTGCCGACTATCAGTATTCATCATCAGTGCCAGCTCATCAGTGCAGCCTATCAGTGCCAATCAATGTCACCTATCAGTGCTGCCTATCAGTGCCAATCAATGCCGCCTATCTGTGCCCATTAGTGCTATTTTATCAGTGCAGTCTCATCAATGCACACCAGTGAAGGAGAAAAATTACCTGTTTGCAAAAATTTATAATAGAAACAAAGAAACTTTTTTTTTTTTTTAATTTTCTGCTCTTTTTGTGTTTATAGCGCAAAAAGTAAAACACCCAGCAGCAAGTAAGTACCACCAAAAGAAAGCTCTATTTGTGAGGAAAAAATTAAAAAAATGTCATATTGGTACAATGTTGCATAACTGAGCAATTGTCATTCAAAGTGCAACAATGCTGAAAGCTGAAAATTGGCCTGGTAAGGAAGGGGGTATAAGTGCCTGGTAGGCAAGTGGTTAATATCAATGGCTTGAAAAAGAAAAAAAAACAAAGTTTTCTTCTATGTTTTTCTTTACATAACGTTTTGGTGAATTTATCTGAAAAGTCCCTAGGTGAGAACAATCACTATATCATGATCATACATTTAGGAATGTTGTGCAACAAGTTTAATTCTGGCAAATTGTAATACAATAAAACCTTATGTAACCAGGGCAGCCAATCTTCCAATCTTATCTTAAAACAACAGAGTGCAGCGCTTAGAGAAATACGTAATGCAAAGTAAAAGAGTCAATGAAGTAATAATGAAGTATCCACAGTGATTCACTGAAGAAATGCGAATTTCCAAGGCTTTCACTCCGTCAAATAACAGAAATTATTTTTTTTTTTCATTCTTTTTATTAGAAAATTTCAAAGTAAATATACAAAGTAATCACAATTGTTTGCCATGTTACAGGTTACATCACACAAAATCACAGGCAAAGAAATTACAAAAGAGAAAAAAAACAACGAAAAAAAAAACTCTTCAAAATTTCCAAAGAATATACAAAAGTATAATCAAACTTGTACATGAAATAAAAACAATAGAAAAAATACACCAAAAAATAAAAAGGTACAACAAAATTTTGTCAGATGTGGCTGTTTCTTTTTTTTCCAGCTCACACCAAAAAAAACACATTTTACAAACCACAAAGGCCAAATTACATGCTCAGCATATGAAAAAATACATGCAAATATATGCAAAAGCAGAAATGATTTCAATTTCCCCAACAATATGTGATGCCGCAAAGTTCCAAGGTGTATGTCCAATAAAGGTTCTGTCCCTTCAAAGCTGACCCTCAAAACTAGACAAAGACCATCTAGTCATCCCTCAAAACGGTACTGTCCCTCCATTGATCATGTCACCTAGGACAAAAAGGAGAAAAGTAAGTTTCATCTTCATTTAGACATGTAAAGATGCATATACAAAAGCCATACAAATTTTAATATCTTCAAAAGGGAAAAAGAAAAAAAAACAACAAGCCACAAGGCTCACAGATTCCTGCGAATTCCAGACTTCTGAAAGACCATCAGCACCTGACTACCTTGAGACTGAAAAAGAGGGAGAAGACATCAAACTTCCTGCAACTCATGGAGAAAGAAAGTTCCCATCAGACCACCACGAACCATCTCTTCCATGACGCAAACTTCCAAATCTCGTTTGCACGAGCAGCACCCAGCTTCTTGCAGTCAAGGTACCCATAATTATACACCCGTCCACGGACCAATGGCCACACAATCACGCACACTCACCACCTCTTTCTTAAACAACAAAATATTCCGTACATCCCACAAACATTCCTTCACACAATTCACCAAAATCCATAAAACTCCCCATCATTCTTTCCAAACTGCCATAGACCAAACATCACCATCTCATACGTCACCCCTTTCACCCCCCCACCAACCCCTCAATCATACCCCCCAAACATCTCCACACCCCCAACCGCATACCTACACTTCCAAAACACATGCTCAACACTTTCAATCCCCACACAGCCTCTCCTCGGACACCTCTCTCAGTCGCACACATCCCACGCCGTCTCTGAAACATCCTCACAGGCAAACACTTATGCACCCCCCCATCCATGCAATATCTTTCTGACGATTATCTAACTCCCCCATAACACACCATTCTTCCATACTTTCTCACATTCAACTGACCTCAAACCACCTATCCCTTCCATCACCTCATTCTCATCCAACTTCTTACATATCTTCTTGCAATCACTCCACATGTCTTTTGCTATCCCATCCCAACGCAAAATTTTCAGCTCCTTTCGCAATTTTTAAGTAAAACCAAGGTGCCCTGAAACACACACACCACCCCCTCACCCCCCCCCCCCCCCCCCCCCCCCCACACCATTCCCTTCCCACCCCCCATCTTACTCTTCACAACCCCCCTCTTGCCCCTTTCCTTTAGAAGACCCCAAATTGAAAGATCAATCTCACGATCCTTCCCAGGACCCTGTCCTGAGCCGGAAAAACACTATACCCCCCCAACAGTAATATTGGCATCCCCCCCCTTGGTCACCAACCACCCCCCTGCCCCCAAAGTCCCCCCCCCCAAAGACCAAAACGCCCCCCCCACTTCCCCACCCCCCCTCTTCCCAACTTTCCCTCCCATACAAGTCCCTCTCAAAACCACACCCCCCTTTTATGCTACCCATACACACCCCTCCAACCACACTGTCCCCCCCCCCCCAATCTCCAAAAAATTACACATTACCCAAAACCCCCCAACTTTAAAAAAAACCCTCCCCAAAAAAAAAATAAACCAAACAACAACCTCAAAACCAAAAACTTCCCCCCCCCCCTGCCCACCACCCACATCATCCATATAGCCAATGATCTTCAACATTCCCCCCACCCCCCCCCCCCACCCCTCCACTCACCCATTTATCCCCCCAATCATTCCCCAAAGGCTCAATCACACAAACCCCCCCCCCCCCCCCCAAGGGACACCCCCCCCACTCCCCCTATCCCCCCCCCCCCACACCCCCCACCCAAAATTCCACCCCACCCCCCCCGGATCCCAGCATACAAACCCTTTATCCCACCCAACAATCCCCAGCAACACCCCCATTTTCTCCAAAACCCCCCCCCCCCACCAAAAAAACCACCCCCCCCCCGCTTTCTCGAAATCTATCCCAACAGCCCACCCTGCTTGCCCCCCTCACATCCCCAATACACCCCCCCAAAACCCACCCCAACCCCCCAATCACCCCCCCGGGTACCACCCACCTTGCCTCCCCCCCCCCCCCCCCCAATCACCCCCCAAACCCCCCCCCCCCCCTTTGGCCCCACAATTTGTAGTCAACATTTAAAAGAGATATAGGCCTCCAATTTTTTAACCCCTCTTTTTTCCCCCCTTTTTTATAAATCCCCCACCCCAAGCCCACCAGTCATACTTTTTGGCACTCCCCCACCCCCCCCCCCACCCCCCCCCCCCATCCACCAATCCCCCCACCCCACATTATAATACCAGCCCCAAACCATCCCCCCCCCCACCCCCCCCCCATTCCCATTTCCCCCCCCCCCCCCCCCCCCCCCCCCCCCATCCCCCCCCCCCTCCCCCCCCCCCCCACCCCCCCCCCCCCCACACCCTCCAACCCCCCCCCCCCCCCCCCCCCCCCACCCCCCCCCCCCCCAAACCCCCCCCCCCCCCCCCCACACTTCCACCACCCCCCTTTCACCCCCCCCCCCCCCCCCCCCCCCACTCCCAAACCATCCCCATCCCCCCACCAACCACCCCCCTCCCCCCCCCCCCCCCCCCCCCCCTATACCCATGCCCCCCCCCCCGTCCCCCCCCCCCCCCCACCCCCCCCCCCCCCAACCCCCCCCCCCCCCTTTGCCCCCCCCCCCCCCCCCCCACAATCACCCCCCCCCCCCCCCCCCCCCCCCCACCCCCCCCCCCCCCCCCCCCCCCCCCCCCCATCCCCCCCCCACCCCCCCCCCTTCCCTAGCCCCCCCCCCCCGCCCCACATCCCCCCCATGAAAAAAGCCCCCCCCCCCCCCCCCCCCCCCCCCCCCCCACCCCCCCCCCCCCCTCAAAATCCCCCCCCCCCCCCCTCCCCCCCCAAACACACCCCCCCCCCCCATTCCCCCCCCCCCACCCCCCATTCAACCCCCCCCTCCACCCCCCCCCCCCCCCCGCCCCCCCCCCCCCCCCCCCCCCCCCCCCCCCCCCCCCCCCCCCCCCCCCCCCCCCCCCCCCCCCCCCCCCCCCCCCCCCCTGCCCCACAGCCCCCCCACCCACCCATCCCCCCCCCCCCCCCCCCCCCCCCCCAGGTCCCCCCCCAAATGTCCCTGACCCCCCAACCCCCCCCCCCCCCCCCCCACCCCCCCCCACCCCCCCCCCCCCCCCCCCCCCCCCCCCCCCCCCCCCCCCCCCCCCCCCCCCCCCCCCCCCACCCCCCCCCCCCCCCCCCCCCCCCCCCCCCCCCCCCCCCCCCCCCCCCCCCCTTACAACATGGACCACCCCAGAATCCTAAATCTCCACCCCTTGAATAGGAAAACAAAAGACACATTAGTCAAAAAACATTTCATTTTTTGGCCTTTTTTTCCCTGGGCCTTGGTCTTCTTACCGGACCGAAGCCCCTCCCTCCTAATCCTGCTCCCTCTGGAGCCCCCCTCTGCAACAGCCGGCCTTCTGAAGCCTCCTGGATCCTGCAAGGTCTCAGAAGTGCTTGTGCTTGCAAAAGACTCTATAGACTGAGATGAAGAGTCCGACTCTCCACCTCCTCCTCCCATCCCACCAGGACTAGGAACCTCCTCAATCATCTGGGTCAAGACCACAACTGGCTGCTTCCGCTTAAGGGTCCCCAAAGACTGATCCATCTCCTCCTCCGCTCTCACCAGCTCACCTCCGCCCTCTACAGGCGCCTGGCCTGGTTCCACCTCCTCAACAAGCTGTGATTCTGCCACCACCATCTCTTCCTCCCTGGGTTCGGGCCCTGACTCCAGATGGACCACCCCTCCAGGATCAACCACAGGTGTCCTGCTCAAGTGCCGTTCCCCCTTCAAGCGGTGACTC